TATAGTAATGTTCTTTAGAAATTTTGCTGGAAGTTTAAAAATAATTACCTTAAAATTTGGTACTATAGGGTATAAATTACTATTGTGAAAGTACCAGATGTGTTTATTACAAATGAAGATGAGCGTAAGAATAGCTTTCATTTGATGGCATATTTTTTAAAGTAATATTCTAAAAATTAAGAAACAAAGTTTCATCAGTGCTAATAAGAATTTTCTTTCGTGATTTAATTCTAGAATATGCACTGCAGGCACCTTGAAAGAGTTTGAAATTCTGAATGTTCCTGTACTTACTACTAAACCACTGAAAAGGTAATGGCTGGCTGGATTTGTAGCAGACACTGTAAAACTTTACCCACCCTGCTACCATTGGATTAAAGAAAGACACAGAAAGTAAAGGTGAAGCTTATTAGTCTTGCATTTTAAGGAAAGTCTAATGCTTTGGGAAAATGCAAGCTAAGAAACACACCATGTTGAATACCTGAGGCAAAGTTTTCTTCCCCATCAGCTTTACTGTACCTTTTACAATCAGAATCAAAATTTTACTACAGTCACTTTAGGAAAAGGGAAGTGATTGGGATGAACATTTACCTAATGATTTGCAGTCACAATGAAAGGAGTGGTGCACAAAAAACAATTACCAACAATATTTAGCCATCAACAGAAGCTACTGAAAAGAATTTTAATCTAAAGAAATATATGTGCACAAATTTTGCAGTGCTAATTTAAGAGATATAAAAGTAGCTTACTTCAAAACTAGATTCAGAACAGGCTGGAATACAAGTTCCATTTTAGCTAAGTCTAGATTAGCACCAATTAAATGAATAATACTTCCACAACTGGAGCTTCTGGAAGCTCTAATAGGAATAAAAAAGGGGGGAATATACCTTGCCTATATAATACATTTCTTAAACCTACTGATTCACAAATATGATTGGACTGAATCAGGGGCTGTGCTCGATAGTGGAAGCAATTCATCTCCAATTGTGCATTCTTTGAAGCAATTTTATGTGGCCTGCAGACATTTCAAAAATGTAATTTTTGCAAAAACGGTGCTAGAAAGATTTTAGTTATTTGAAACATGAGAAATAACATTACGTTCATTTAAAACAAACATGAATAGCACATCAGAAAGTATGTCAATGGAGCTAGTAAATTTACAATGTAATATAAATCTCATTCAGATTTGAAGATATAAATCAGATCAACTTTCTTTTGCACTTGTCAAAAAATAAATAAATTGAGTTATGAATTTTTGCACATAATTGCTTAATTTAAGAATATATTAACTCCCCCCCACAGTTGAAAATTAATAAGAAAACAATCCAACTGAAGGATGAGCATCTACATTGCCTGATGACAATAATTTGTAGTAATTTCTCTCCGATGCTTATTGAAAAACTTTATTGATCAAAATGCTATCAAGTATCAAGGTGTAGTAAGATATAAAGAAGTTTATAATTATTTACCTTTTTTATTTATAAATTGCAGAAAAATATAATAAATATAAGAAACAGGCTAAATTGTTAATTATTCTTAAGTTCTGGTAAATTTTCTTTGAAAACTTTTCATGATTTGTTTACTTTTAGTTTAAATTAAAGTAAATTGTTTAAGGATTACTTAAACTCACCAGAAGCATCTGAAAGAAATGCCAGACTAGGAATTCAATATATAGTTGTTAATCTATTTGATTTACAAAGTGTAACCAATAAAAATGTCTTACAGGTAACAAACTTTAGATTTCAGACAAAAAATAAATATAAATTTGAATTTTTTTCATTTGCAGTATTATTTTCAATATTGTTTATGTATGTTTTGATAAATATTTAGCGAGCAAAATTTTTAATTAGTTAAATTTTTTTAATTTGATGATCAAATTTTCATTTTATTAAAAAAAATAGTCTAGTTTTCCAATTGTGCATTCGGCCCATATGTATCTGAGTTTGAGACAACTGACCTACATACCAATGCAATTTAAAAGTGCTCATTATGTAATACCTATCAATGTAGCACATGAATTTAAGACTGGTGATGCTGTGTTAATACCAGATGAAAAGTTATCATACGTGAAGATTAGGGAAGGTTGCAAAAATTCACATAGGATGAAAATGATAAGGTACACAGGAGAATGACATCAAATGCAACATTAAAGAGACTGCAACTACTTCGTTATTTGTAAAGGTTACCTTAGTTTAATTTCTTATTAATTGCTCCAGTTTCTAATGAAATCCTTCCTGAGGAAGGGTGTAGCAGAATATTTATGTAAATATCCTTACCAGCTTGGCACAGCAGGATCACATGCTATGCACACCTGAAAGATTTTAAAATATTCTTGTATTCACTACTGAACAACCTAGGGTGATGGTTGGTTACTGATTGAAGTGTTGTTGCTACATCTTGTTACTGCCTTTTACTTTGCATCTCCAAGCAGGTGATGTTACTATAGATTACTGTCTGCTGAGAAGTTTTTCAAATACATAAGCAAATGAATAGTTTACAATTCCCTCTCTCTAAAATCTTTCTCATTTATTACTTTCCTAATTTATATCATAGAAATCAATAGGACATGTCAATGGCATCTGAATATGCATTCTGGTTGTACTTTGTTTATAATAGATATATATGTGTGTGTGTGTGTGTGTGTAAGATAAAAAAATATATAAATCAAAATTATAATTTAAATTAAAGGTAAACTATTTAGTTCTCTCTCTCGGTTCTAAAAATCATAATAACTTTCTTGATTGCATCATTTCTAGATCACTCGATTCCGCATGGCCTGCACAGTGCTGATGATGTAATAATTGGGAACTGAAACTTTAAACCAAAATTCTGTTTGTGTGCTTCCATCTTGCATAACTATGTACTTCAGCTTCACTCTCTACCCTGCTAGGTTATCATTCACTGTCTAGCTTGCAATTGCAATAATATCAAAAATGTAAATGTTCTGTGAATAGGCACAATTAGAGTGCCAAGTGATTGTGTCCAGAAAAGTCAACTGCAAATAAAAATGGAATTAAAAATGCCTTGACTACCAGATTTCTTAGATATTACCAAGTCAACATATTACCATACTACGCAATCAGAAATCTTCCTCTTCAATATGGATCTAAGTAAGCATCAACACTGCTCCAGTTTTTCCTTGATTTTTATTGATATATATATATATATATATATATATATATTAAACTATATTGCCTATTATATATATATTGTATTGCCTCTTTTAAAGCATAAACTGTATTGCCTTTTTTAAAGCATAAACTGTATTGCCTCTTTTAAAGCAGAACTGTAAATGTACTGACTGCTTATTGGAATTTACAGTTCAAAAGTATCAACAATAAATATCTCAGAACTATGATATAACATTTAAATCCCTGGTTAGATTACTGCTTGGATATGTAAATTAAATAACAGTTTTCTATATATACTACTTTATTCAATTCAATTATGCGACAAAGTATTACTCCAATTCATACTATCTCGCACTATGCAAGAACTAATAATTAAATTTATTTTACTTAAAGCAAATAGGAAAAATGTATATTCAAGTTTCTTAAATTCTCAAACTTCGCAGTCTGGCTCTTAAAAATTGATGGATCCATACTTTAATAGTTTATATATCAATAACATTAAAAAGAACTGAATTCCTCTTAGAAAATTCTCCAGAAAGACATTTTCCTTTTCAACCTCTTCACATGGGCTATAAAGGCTATTTTTATGCATTCAGGCAATTTGATCAACTATTCAATCAGCAAGTAACAGGAAAACTAATTGACAGATCTGCCATTTTCTACTCTGAATTAGGTCAAACATTTTAAACACCCATATTGAACAAAATTTCTTTAAACCTTATTTAATGTGGCGAATATGCAGGATATATATGTCACCACTCCCTGGAAAAGGTTAAATCAGCCCACCTTAAGAGTTATTTTTAAAATTAGGCAGGAAACAATTTGTATATAATATACAAGGCTAAAGTTCATCCACAGCCCAAAATAAAATGTGGTTTTAACTTATTTTATTATTTGTCATTAATTTAACTACAATAAATTATTTTTTGTCATCTTTTTACATGAATACACTGAAAATAAAAAATTTATCTTCTATGTGACATATACATACATGTGGGCTTCCACCAGTGTGGACTTTCATCAATGGGTGCTTTAATTCCATCCATGTGGATATTTGTTATGTGGGCAATCTTGACAATGTTTTTTTAATATGCATATCTGGGCTTTAATCATGTGCACCTTTGTCCGGTGCACTTTTATTTAAAACAAGGCATTGGCATGGTATGCTAAAAAAACGTACAAAAATGAAAATCAAAAATGGGATCTCCAAAAATCAAAAAACAAATTTCACCAATATATGGGAAAATGTTTCAAAGTTGAACTTACTAAGAATCTGAGCAATTCTGTAATTAGAGTCGTCAGATTACATTCAAGAAAGATTAAAAGTTGACCCAAATTTTACTAAAAAACTGTCACATGCTTTTGTCTAGATGTGTACTGCTAGCTAAACATACAGTCAGCTAAATGTCTATGTTGGGTAAATATCCTGTTAGTTAAGTGTTCCTCTTGTCTAAATGTCCTATCAGCTACATGCCTTAAGTGTACACAAATGAACAAGAATAAGCAAGATATCATAAAGAATAACTTAATTTAAAACATTATATAAAAGTTTTTGATAATCCATGGAGTATTAAAACTCTACGACTTTTTTAAAACTCAAAAAATTCAAATTATTTATTAAATCACCTTAAAAAATTTGGTGGAATTTGAATGGTCACATATCAAAGACCACATTCAATAAGAATAACTCTAGTGATAAAATCTTGCTGGATGCATTTACTTTTTTAATAGCATCATATTAATAAGTTTTACATCACCCTAAAATTAATAAACTATACCACACTACTAGAAGTATATCAAAATGCAGTACTACATGTACATAAAAATGTCAAAAGCAAACTATCAATGAAAAATCAGAACTGCATTCATTACCTGGATTTTCTTGCTTCCTATGAATGCGATAGCCATCAAAATTAAAAAATCCTTCAGCTCTATGTTCAGCTATGTTTGATAAGACTTGCTTACAAACAACAGCATACATTAATAATCCGTATTCAGATATAAAATTGCATGAAGAATTATTTGGATAATAAAGTAACTCTAAAGTAATCTTTTGGAAACACACTTCATTACATAAGCCCGTATGTGATGAAAGCTTGAATGAATCTGAAAAAAGGAAATATAACAAAGGTAAATATACAATTTTTATATGAATAAATTTACTGTGAGAAAGATAAGCATATAATTTATTAATAAATCAATACTGTTTGTATATATTTCTTATTCCTACAAAAAATTTTAGAAATCTGTTCAAAAATGAGAACTCGTACAAGATGTCAACTAAGGTATTACAAACCTTGGTTGGCTATATCTTTGTACTGCCAATTTTGTGCTGGCATTAAGTGAAAAAGGGCAGTTGCTAATTTGGAACAAATCTTAAAGAACCATATCCCAGTTTAATAAAATGGACAGGGTTTCCTAAGCTTACAGTAACACACTGTAACATATATCAAATTAGCAAAGTGCCTCAATTTAGGCACTTGGCACTTCTGCCAAAAAATTATAATATTTAAAAGTTAAATACCTAATATTAATCAATACTAGCGAGGATTAAAGTGTTTTTCCCATTTTCATTTCTGCAAAGTCCTCTCCCAGCTTTACTACTTTATCAGGAAGCAGTGATGACACGTTTAAAAAGAGTGATTTCAGAAAATGCTAGACACTACATCAATCATAAACTACCGTACCTCATGCAGCATAGCAATGAAAGAAGCTTATTATGCATTTGATGACTACTCTAACACTTACATTCAATCAAAAGGACTCAGCTGAGTACTCTGCAAGGCAATTCCTGGAAATGATATTTACCAATATACCTGACAACCAACTGGTATAGTGGTTAGCATCACGGGCTACCGTGCCGGAAGGGCCTGGGTTGGAATCCTGGGGAAGGCATGGATGTTTGTAAATGTATAGTGTCAGTGTGGCATGGCGGTACTCTAAATATGTGGCAAGCTGAAATTCCTCTCGTGTGGTTTGTTGGAAAGGGTGTGGGGTGGGAGACTCAGACCTGTCCCTCCAGCGTGCTCTCCATCAAAACCAGAAGCAGAACTGAGCTAAATCCCACTGTCCTTTGTAAGATGCTCAAAGCTGCTGCCAATGACATGCGTATCTTGCACTCCTCGACACGAGGAATTTCATGGGTTTGGGCTGATGTTACTGTGAGGCAAGTGAGCATAAATAACGACGACAAATATACCCAGACGGGACAGTGGTTAGTGACTCTGACTGTTTGTTTCCTTTTCAACTTATTACTTTATAGTATTAAGTTTCTGGTGTTCGATTACAATTATAAATTTATTCATTTTATTTGGATTATTATTGCAACTAAATTAGCAGCTTTTAGCACATTGTTTATTATTATTTATTATTATTTTAAGTTGTTTATTATTATTTTAAGTTATTTTAAGCTTATTACGTTTAATTTTTTAACATATAAATACACTCATATGTATATACACTCCGAGGTCACTGTGGCCAGTTATTTGGGTCACAATCCCCTAAGCATAATTTAAACAGTCTTTAATTAGCTTTTTTAGTCAATATTTTTTCATGAAATATATTTTCATTAATTAATTTGGTTTATTAGTTCTTGTGTAGTTTTATCACTACACAAGAACTAATAAGACTGTTAAGTTCAATAATTTATCAATATCGTACTGTTATGTTAATCAACAGCCACCTCAAACGGGGAACTGGTATCTGTATTTATACATGATTAGCACACCTTAAAATACTTTGTGATTCATAATTCTCTTCTATTTTTCCTACCCACAAACTGATGAACACAAAACACATTACACAAAATTATTGCATTTACATTTAAGGAATATACACTAATTGTAATACTGTATGCACATTTTCAATACATACAACAGCTATCTTAATTATTGAATATATTATTGAAATGACATCAAATGAGGCATGTATAGTGGTTAGTTGACAAAAACTTTGCATACCTAATCCTAAAGAATAACATCAAAATATTTCAGCTTACTCAAGTTCCTAAATTGAAACACAGACACTCTAGCAACTGAAAATAACCAATAAAGCATCTACCTATATATCAATGAAAAGTTTTCATTATACTATGTTCCAATTTGACTTAAGCTCTTGAGGGTTTCTTTTGAAACAGCTAATGGTAAATAACTTTTATCATATCATAGGCTATGCATAATCATGGAGTTATAAATAGGCAGTAGTTAGAAAATTTGCCTCTTTGATCAAAGTACCCAATTTTAAAATGGCTTTCAAATAGTAAATTTCAAGTTATACTTCCACAATTTCGATATTATTGTTAGAATCATTACATTTCTAGAAAACAGAACATCAACAACTGCATTTAATAACTTTTTAAAAAATCAGAAAATTGTTTCAAAAAGTTTTTTACTCTAAAACTGTAAACAGAAAATTAGTAACAATTTTATTATGAAAGAAACAAGACTAGGAATAAGAAACAGTGTTTCAGTTTAAAAGTTTTAAGGTACCATAAAACAATATCATTCTGTCATTGTCAGAAGCACAAGATGCTACAGGAGATTGACTGGATGATTAAAACACAGAGAACATGAGCAAACATAAAAATACGACAAGAGTTAAAAAGCAAGTTTAATCACAAAGAATTTATTAAAATGGCCATACAAAACATCAGCTGCAAAAAGACAATTGCAAATAGAATGGATTGGCAGACTTCTTGAACAAATCAAACACATCACACGCAGCTCCAACATCAACCAAAATCTGAAAACAAATTTTGTATCAGATTCAAGGAAAGTCTTACAGATGAAGCTCTTGAGAAACCCAGAGGAAATTAAATCGAGACACAGCTGATCAGGTAATCAAAAAACAACTTAGCTCAATCCAATGGCCTGGAAATGGGACACCTAATCTTTTAGCCCAAAGGGCCAATTTGCCCAGAAGGGCTATTAATTTCATTTTGGCATTTTGCATTGATTCACTATAAACGGCGAATCACTTGTTAAATTGTTGCCACCAAATATTAGATCCCTGCATTATATTTAAAAAGAAATTGAAAGTAATGAAGAACCTGCATAAATGTATATATGTTTCTCACACTGTGAATAAAACAACGGTACCTAGAGCCATCGACAGTTTTGAATAATGTACGTTCTCCACCCGAATATGGGCGCATCTGAAAGTCTCAAATTTGGAATTTAGAATTTGTTTTATTATCTATTTTCATATTTTGTAAAGCAGTGTAACGAAGTTTTTAATTAAGAAACCCAACGATTTCAAAGCGAGCAATGGCAACATTACATAGGGGGGAAAAAAACATTTTTATCTGCAGCTTGCGAGACTATTTTGGAAATTCTAAAGTTAAATATTTTTGTTATATTGCTGTTGAATAGTTTAAGTGCAAAGAACATGATACTTAATAAATAAAGGTAACACACAGAATGCTAAAAAAAGTAATCTGCGTAATATAAAATCTCAAAGCTTTCAGATTTTTTTTTTTAAACATTTTAATGAAATGGACTGATGCAGCAGGAACACATACATTGTCAGTTGGCTGCTGAAATATTCTCCAGCAATTCTGATCAAACATTTTGCAGAAAAATATAACAATTTCCCTTGTCAAGGTGTTCATATCTGCTTTCTCACCATTTGTGCACTAAGCCATCACCTCTGAAGTAGAAGCTGTGATGCATTTATGTTTAATGAACTGCTAACTGCTTGCAAGCAAGCATTCTCTACTGCCTTTCCACTTCATTTCTGACTATGCATTCTATTATAAAAAATTGTTTCTGGTGCATTCTACCACCTTTCAAATTTTGTTCCATCTTCGCTGCAAGAGAAAATACATATTAATTCTAATAAATAATTAAATCTTTTAACATCATTGTACTATCAAATGTATAAAGCATTATCGTTTTTAGCTTATTATGGTCGCCCTATGCTTTTGTTATTTGCGATATAAAATTATAGATAAATTCCATAAATAGAATTATTTAATATATTATTCCTATTAAGCTATATGATAAATTATTTTTCTCCTTTTAGTGCATTATCATAACCATTTTAAATAAAAACTATATGAAAAACCTTTTTTAATCATATTTTATTTTCTGCTTTTTAGTCTCAGTTGCACATCATCAATGATGAAATTTTTAACAGTAAATTTTATGAAAAATATGAAATAAACAAAATACCTGAACATCATTCAACGAATGAAGAAATCACTTTAAACATTCAGTTTCAGAAACTGGATGTAATAACAAGCAATAAGTTACAAGAAGCACCTTACTTGAAACTAAAATGAAAAACAAATATTGCCAGTTTGTCATTAACTGCACCAAGATGACAAACTCAAAAGCAATTTTTCTGCAAGAAACACTATCTCTCAATACTTTTTAATCATTCTTGTATTAAAAAAAAAGCAAGAAGAATGTTTTGTAATCTGAAAATTTTAAAACTTTTATGTCAGATACATTTTAGGTGTTGAAATTTTAATATCACATGCGTTGAAATTTTAATATCATAAAGGTCAAACAGTCTTAAAAATCTGAGTGGCATTCAAAAGTTTACCAAAAATTCAGAAATTACGTATCATTTTTCATACAAGTTTCATTGAAAAAAAGAATTTCTGCTCTATTCAATGGTGCAAACAGTAAAATTCTGATATGCTGTGCTTGTTAAACAAAGATATGTGCAAAAAATCGTTCAAACATTAGCAAAAGAAAACTAATATAAAATTTTGGAAAAATCACTTCCACACTGCATTGTCATTTACATATAGTGTGTGTAAAAAATGTGAATTTGAGAGCTTATCAGGAATGAAGTTAAAATTGATGACCTAATTTCCCTCACAGTGAAGGACATAAGCATATAAGGTATTTTCTCATTGCTTTCCACTTGCCTTTGTTGTATAAATAGAAGCATGCTCAATATATATTCGGAAGGTCCAGAGTTTTAATATTAGTGAGGGCAAAGCAGATTTCTCACCTTGCCTGACTGTAAAGTTCTAGAAAAGACTACAAGTGGCACCCGAACTAAAAGGCCGTAGGCAATAATTCATCACCACCAGGATTTGATGATTCCGTCCCCTCATTCCCAGTCACCCTTTAAAAGGGCTAGTATATAAGGTATTTTCTCCATCCTTTCCACATGTCTTTGTGGTGTAACTGCAAGTGCGCTTGATGCGCATTCGGGAGATTCGGAGTTCAAGTCTCAGCTAGGGCATTGCACATTTTTCACATCTTCAGCATAAGAAAAACCTTATGACTCTACAAATTAACTAAACAAAAGCTTACAAAAAGTTCGAATACCTTGAAGATAAATTTGGAAATACTTCATTTGGAATAGATGCATAGCTTTGTGAACCAAAATCTGCTAAGGGGAAAATACAGCAAAAGAAAAAATATATTGCTGCATCAACTACTGGCTTATGTTTCTTGATTGCCATCTGGTAAGATACAAAGGAACTTCAGGAACGGTCAGTCCTGAAAACCACTCACACGAGTGAGTAAGACATTCAATAGAAAAGGTGCTACTGTAGCTAACCACCACCCTTCAAAGAGTTAAATTGTTAACTGCTAACAGCAAATAAATTTTCTATCCTTAACACGTCAGTATGTGATCGGGTGGCATCATCTACTAGTGAATCACGCAACAGCATGCACTGAGCTATATATGTTAACATATCATTTTCCTTGTTAGCCAGCTTCTGGTAAAATTTTAGATACCTACCTTGGAAGCAAATGTGTTAAAACAATTCCCTGCTTTCAATAAAGATTACTCAATATTTTTTTCAGATTAAACTGCTTGCCTATCAGGAATTTTCATAATCATTCCTCAGTACTATGACATAGCAAATCATTATTTATTAAAAGCCTTCAAACAAGTGGATATGAGTCAATTTTCCTTAGAAAGTCCTCCACGATGGCATCCTTCTCCTTAAACAGATAGCTCTTGTATGCTTTGTTAAAATCAAATAAACCAAACCAAACTTTAAAACAATAAATATGAATAAATACCTGTAGTAAATGAGGACTTGTCCAATATAACTATATTATCCAAATCCATAACTACTACTTCTCCCTCTTTAGTAACAAATATGCCATCAAGTGAAAACCCTAAATAAATGAAGTACCACTGGGGATCTTCTTCCTGTTATCAAACATCACAATAAGATTATCACAATGACAACATTTTAAGTCTGCTAAGCAGCATTAAAACAAAATCTAGGGCTAATCGAACGACGTGTTAATTATAACAGCTATTTTAAAAACTAAATAAACTGCATTAGAAGTTCCAACATATACACATAAGATTTACTGGTAAAGGCAAATCCATTGTAATAAAGGACAATAACTCAAACAAGATACCACATTTACTTGTGTTTTTCTCCCCCTCATGTATTTTTCCTCCTTACTTTTTTATAATATGATTCAAAAACTTATGATACATGGCACAAGTGTTCACAAGCTTGTAAGATCATACAGTGCTAGAGTAACTTCCCTTGAAGGAGATAAAGACACAGATGTAACTTTTGAAGGCAACCACAGCCAAAAATTTAAAGTAGAAACTTTTTTAACCACTGACTGGCTGTGTAATTTACAAATACAAAAACACAGTAAAAGGTATGAGGAGATATTTAAACATTTTGGGTTTTTTGAAAATATTTGTAATTTGGATGAGAACGAAATTAAAATAGCATGTGAGAAAATGTTGAAATTTTATGATAAAGATGTTCATGGGAAGGAACTTAATTTGGAATGTCAACATTTCAAATCATATCTAATCATTGATAGTGAAAAACTGATGGGGGGAAAACTAAGAGAAGACATGGAAAAAAAGGAAAATTAACAAAAAATATAATTTTACAAATTTCGATGACAATGAAGAACAGTCGTTGGATGAGGAGATTGGAATTGATATCAATGCACTCTATACATACATGTATAATGAAAGGCTTCCACAGTGTTCCCAGATATTGAAATAGTAATGAGAACTTTCTTGTTGATGATGATTATAAACACGAGTGGTAAGCATTCATTTTCAAAATGCAAAATGGTCAAAAATGAATTGATAAATTGTATGACTCAGTCTTGTTTGAATAATTTAAGTTTGACAAGTATGGAAAATGAAATACTATTAACAGTTGATTTTGAAGATATAATTAATGATTTTGAAAATTTAAAATGCAGAAAACGAATAATAAATAATAAAATTTTATTTTATTACGAATTGCTTTTATTAAACCTTACACTTAATGAAATGAGCAGATGGGGCCTACTTTTGCATACATTCCCAAGGCCTCAAGAAGTCTTAAGAGTCCCTGTCAGTGAAAGATCATGACAACAATTAAAATAAAAATTTGAAATGTGTCCCCCTCCCTCAATTAGCAACACCATCTTAGAAAACGTTTGTAGCTATATCATTTGATTATGTATGTGAAAACTAACATTATTTATACATTACATGTACATGTACTAGCTATTGTTCTATATTGCAGTTACAGTTATTATGTATTATGGACAGTTACATATGTGACATCTCGCTTCTTAACAGAAATAAAAGGATTATGCATACTTTTTTAAATAATAAGATTTTTTTCTAACAGTCCTACCAGATTGAGTAACATAGTTATGTTCAATTGTAAAATTTGGTGATACGACACCTCTTTCAGAATTTGGTGGCACAATGCTTCTGTTACGTGCAGGAGAATTTGTAGGTATGTCTAAATCTGTAGTACTCCTACTAATCTCAGGTTCATTCACATCTTCATCTTCACAATTTTCTTTTCATAATTGTTTTGCACTGCAAAATCTTTCAGATTAGTTCCTTTTAAGAAGTCTCTTCTGCTCCTTTCTATAATTCTTCTATCTGTTCTTAAAACCTGTATGAACATAGTCATTCTGCGTTCTTTTTGTTTTTCCTTCTTTCTCATTTATGTACACTTGATCTCCTATCTGCAATAGTTTTAATATCTTAAATTCCTATCATCATAGCTTTTTTGTAAAGCTAGTCTTTTCAGTAAATTTTGTTTATGCTCTTCATGTTGTTTGCTTTGAATGAAATTCTCTTTTATAGGCATCAATCCTTTCACTTTTCTTCCAAACACAATTCTGAAAGTGACTTAATTTCAGCTGAAATAGGAGAATTACAATATTCCAGTAATACTAAATATGAATTCTTGCTGTCACAGTTTTTCTAACATTTGCTTGACAGTTTGAATATGTCTTTCAACCATTCAATTCGACTGTGAGTAATCTGAACTTGAAATTCTGGTTTTAAAATTCAATCTCATTGCAAATTCTTCAAATTTCTTGCAACTATATTGTGGACCATTATCCAAACCTGTGATTCTCAGGCTACCATGCCTTGCAAAAAATTATTTCAATTGTTTTATCACTGCTATACTTGGCAAACCTTCCAAATATCTAATTTCAACATATTTGCTAAAGTAGTCTATAACGATTAGATTATCTCTGCCTTGGAAGTAAAGGAGATACAGTACTTCCCATGGACCATTAAGTATTTGTTTAGATATCATTAGTTTACTATTATTATTATTATTATTATTATTAATTTTTTTAACTTAAACATGCTGGACAATTCAAAACCAAAACATTTTCTTTTGACATTCCTAGCCAATATACTATTTCTCTTGCTCTGTTCTTGCATTTTTCTATTCCTATATGACCATGATGAATTCTACTTTAGCATATCTTTTCATAAGCCTCTACAGGTATTCTTAAATATTAATCTATTTGCTTCTGATAGCTCTTCTCAGAAGTTAAAATATAATTCTGCCAGTTCTGGAACCATACATATTTTTATCTAGCCAACTAGTTTTAATTCATTTTCTTAAAACTTGTTGTTCTTCATCTTTTTCCATCTGCAGCTAAAAAATATACATTTTATCTTTAGACACTAGCATATTTTTCATAACCATTCCAACACAGGCTTCTATGTCTTCTTCAAAGAAATCAGGTCTTTTCGCAAATGATCTTGATAATGCAGCTGACATAAAATTTTCTTTTCCTGGTTTACATTTTATCTCAAACTGACGCAGCTGTAATTTTATATACATTTTTGTAATCTAACTGGACATTTATTTAATGGCTTCTTGAAAATTGATTCCAATGGTTTTATGGTCACTCTAAACTGTAATATGTTTTCAAAATACATACTGGTGAAATTTCTCACATGCAAATACATTAGGGTTGTCACGCTACCTGGAAAACCAGGAAAAGTCACATAACTCGAAAATTGACCAAAAAACTCAGGGAATTTAAATATTTTAGTCAAAATCTGGAAAAGACAGGGAATTTTTTATGGTTTTCCCCAAAAAAATTGATTTTTGCACTAATGTTGGAAGCAATCACTTTCTTGGTGAATTATGTATCATGTGAATGCAAAGCCCCCTGAAGATAGTTAGAAGTTATCTTCAGGGGGCTTTGGTAAGCATCATTTGGACAGCTGTCATACAGCTCATTTCCGCAGTGCCAATCAGATTGCCTTTCAGAAAGGCAAAGCAAATTTCAGCATCTTTGGTTTCCAGTAACCTTGAGAATCCTGAGATTTGCATGCACATGTGCAGTACATGTTGAATGAAAGTAAATTGTCCCCCTCCCATTCTCGCACAAAACAAAATCTTTTAAACCTTTTCATCTTATGCATCTGCCATCCTGTCCTCCCAGACCCACTCAGCAGCATTTCGATACATCAAGTGCTCTCGAGCACCCAATTCATAATAGCCGGTAAAAAGTTTCCAATTATGCAAACTAAAAATGTGGCGCATAGAGCATGACACTTCTTTCTTAAATACCTTATTTGTCATTTTGCAGTAAAATAAAAAAAATAATAATAGTCAGTCATCTAGGCTAACCATTTAATGCATCTATACTCGCCAAAATACCGTCGATTTTTTAAATTCAGTTTTATTTTAATGTTATTTGTATCATTTAATGTGGCTTCTTCCTTCTAAATTTATTTATTATTAGTCAATAATACTTTCATATTTCAGGCAATTTTCTCTGGCATACTTCTAACCGTATGACACAAAAACTAAACTCAGTGGCGTAACAGCCCTAGTGAGCCATGGGCTGCAGTTCCCCGAAATCTGCTTTCTTGATCTTGGGCCCTAGAGTGCATCAGCATATGCCCTGGACAAATGGTCAACTTGTCGCAAGACTCCCCCCCCCCAGTGTTTAGCCATCAAGTGAACTTGGTACTCATTTTATCTACCCATTCACGGGATGAAAGTCTGACAGCCCGGAGATCGAACCCTGGATCTGTGATGCAGCTGCGTGACATGCCAGCCACTTCGCCACCAGGCTGTCAACTGTATGATATACACTTTGCCACCAGGCAGTCAACTGTATGACATACCCTCACGAAATTTAGTGCACACGTTTTTACTTATCTATGCTGCTACATAAATATAAAATATTTGAATTTATTTTAAAATATCATTAAATAGGTTTCGTTCTTCCTTTAGCTGCAAAATGCCTGCAAAACAGACATTTTTTAATCCTGATTGGGCAGATTCTAATCTCAGTTTTCAGTGGAGAAAACAACTCCTATTACGGTTGTAATAGGAGTTGATGGCTAAACACTGGGCACTGAGAATTATAAACTGCTGGCCATTAAAATTGCATCATCATGAAGGAAAACAAATATAAAAAAGATATTTCTTGTGTGTATACAGTATGGCTCGAGGACAAAATAATGAAATTTGTAAGCATTTTGGAGGTTTACAGGGGTGCAAAATTAGTAGAAACACCTGCCACACCTGGCACCTAAAACAACCCTTGGCCTGAGGGGTGGCAGACTAGTCTCTCAACAACCCATGACCATATGTTTTCAATGGGTGACAGATCTGGAGACCATGCAGGCCAGGGCAGCAAACAAAGGAAGTTTGGAACACGACATGCAACATGTGGTCTTGCATTATCTTGTTGAAAGATGGCATTTGGCAGGCGTCAAAGACAAGGCACAACCACTGTATGCAAGATGTCAGAAATATACTGATCTGCATTCAAATTACCGTAAATCCGAACTAGACATGTGTGCATCATATATCCAATGGCTGCACAAACCATCACACCAGAGGTAGGATCCCTGTGCCGATATCAAATGCAAGCAGGTGCAATCTCCTT